CGGTTGAAAAGCTTTCGGACCTCTTGTCTTTCGGAGCTAAGAGATTCGTTCCACCAGGGTGTGCCCCGATTACTACTTTTCACCTTCAGTGGACTACTACTGTGATATGCAGAGCGAATTGCCACAGAGATCTGCTCCGTGGCTATTGCTATTTCAACCTGATCACAGTTCCTAACGGTTGCGATAACACTAGTTAGGTTATCTGCAAGACAACTCTTAAACAGATCCCAATTAGTGCTACGGGGATTACGGTACGTACAGTCCGATTTCATCCCTAGATCAATTTTAAATTGAATATGTCTATGATCTGAACACGACGGTTCAGAGGAGGTTATCTTAGAGCTTAATATAATTGAGCTGAACGTAATGTCAGGTACCTCTGCTCTATTTCTGGTAACAAAGGTTGGTTTGGCGCCTACATTATTAACAGTAAGCCCCTCCCCTAATAGGTAGTCAAAAAGTAACTCACCTCTTTCATTTGTGTTGGTACGTATATTATGGTAGAGGTGAAATTTTTCTCAAATATGATTTGATCCACAATCATAATAGTGTTTATGGAAATCCGGTCGGGGTTTAACCACTTTTTAAAATTGCATTATACGCTGCATTTTATGCAATTGTATTTGCAATATTAGAAAATTATTTCCCCAAAACAAAATTAAATCTTATTTTCAGTTATCTTTTTCGCCAACAACTCCAGTTTGGAGTCACGTAAAACTGTTGGGTCTCCTTGGTTGTATACTATCATTATCAGGATTTATGGTATTAATATGCGCTTTCATTGGATTTTTCGTTGGAATAAATACTTTTGCTTTTATGGTAGCGGAGGTAATTAATTTAAATTAGTAAATAAAACGTTACTATTTTAATAATTATTTTGATTTTACCCATTAGGTTGTGTTAATTTTTTTAAGAACACTGCATACCATCATCAAGTATAGTCTTCATTTGTATGATATGCGCAACGAAGGAAGCGGCGTTTCCCCAAATGATGCGGCGAGAGTTTGGGAAAAACGAGGACCGGTTATTTATTATATCGAATTAATATTTGAAATGGCCGCTTTAATTGTCGATTTTATTCACCACGCTCATATGTTGTTGTGGAGTAATATTTTCTTGTCAATGGCGAGTTTGGTGATTTGTATGCAACTGCGATATTTGTTCCAAGAGATTCAAGAACGTTTTAAGAGACATAGAAATTATGTTTTAGTTAAAAATCATCTTGAAACTAAGTGGGTTTCTTTATTTATTTTATTATAATTTAGTTTGAATATATTTGTTAATTGTAGTTATCCAATGGCTACACCTGAAGAGTTATCTGATAATTCGGATAATTGTGCTATTTGTTGGGAGAAAATGGATGCTGCAAGAAAATTACCTTGTTCCCATTTATTTCATAAGTAATTATTACTTATTTCCATCTTTATTTCTGGGTTAATTTTTTTGTTATCGCTTTTAGCGCTTGTTTACAATCTTGGTTGGAGCAACATACATCATGTCCTACATGTCGTATGACTCTAAGTATACATACATCATTATCTAATCGTCCAAACCCGCCGGATTTGCAAGCGGATGCAATGCAACCTATGAGGAGACAATTAAATTTCTTTCATTTTGACGGTACTTTGGAGTTTTATTTTAAATCATTTTATTACTTCAATTTTTTTTAGGATCGAGATATGTTTCTTGGTTGCCAAGTTTTTCAGTGGAAGTGAGTCGATCTTTAAGACCAGATGGAATTGTCGCTAATTCGCAATTAGACCAAAATGCAAGACGGGTAAATAAATTTGTATTCATTCTTAGTATTAATTATAATTTTAATTTATTACTTTTTAAGGTTCAACAATTATTTCCTCATATTCCCATCCCGACTATCATTGAGGATTTACGCGTCACAAGATCAGTTGAATTAACAGTTGAAAATATAATCGATGAAAGACTCGTTGTGCCACCGCGATTACGAGAAGAACAAATGGAAGAAAACAATTCAAACAGTTTATTAGAGAGTTTATCACAAACGAGTACAACCTCGAAAGGATGGGAAGATTTATCAGAAAATATAGAAACGTAAGATCCATTGGTACTTAATTTATTTAAACCTCAATTTGTTTTAATTAAAGGGAGGATTCTGCGAGTTTGGCGGGTCGCTTTTCAAAGTCGCCTGAAGAAAGAGAACGAATATTAAATAAGCGAAAAGAACAGATGCGTCAACTGGCCAGGAAGCGTTACATTGAGAAGCAAAGGTCCAGATCTCAGAGTTGAAGTGATTTTTTTATTGATGGAGCGAAAATGTGGGTGTCGAATAAAAAAATGCCAAAATTCCTACTTTAACGTGATAAAAATAATAGTTTGTAAATTAATTTTTCGTTTATCTTAATTAGTTTTTAAGATTTTTGCTTAAGAGAATTTATTTTTTAAAAAGGCGACTTATGATGAATCCGGTGCTCTCATTTATTGCAAAAAAAATATCGTATTTATTTTTTTTTTTTTATTAAAATAACATTATTATGGGAATAGCACCTAATTATTATTATTATTTCAATATATTTTCGTATTATTATTATTATATCTTTAAGTGTTATTTACTTATTTGAGTTTAATCTAGTTCCTTGTTTCTTTTTCTTTATTAATTTATATTTATAAATATATTTTTGTTAACCCACTTAAAAAAAAATGTCGCTTATAAATGAGAAGACTGAATTATAATCATTGATTTCTAAGAGTGTGATAAAGAAACTAAAGTCGAAAAGATTGTGTCGTTATTTTCACATAAAAAATGTACTTCATTTAAAAAAGCATGAATTATCTTAAAATTGACTTATTTTTACTTCAACGTTTCGCAAATGCTCACCTTTTAGAAAAAAAGCAATTAATTAATACCGACTTTAAAAGAAAATTAAATTATTTATTAGTGGGACTTAAATTCTTTGTAATTTGTATATCTGGGTGTAATATATTGCAACAAGGTAAAAAAATAAAAATAGATTGAGACATTTCGATTTAGAAACTAAGTAATTGCCATGCAATTATTGCGTTTTGTGGTTGTGCTGCGTGATTTAAAGATATTTGACGGGGCACATACATGTCAATGCAAAAAGCAAAGAGAAAAATTTTTAAATGTGTACATCTATTTAGAATATTGAAAGAAAACGATTAAAAACAATTAAATTTTAAAAGTAAATGATGAAATTGTATACTTAAAATACACGAAAAAATATTGGACTTGTAAAATTTTAAAATCGAAAAAATTTACATTAATGTGCTTAGTTTTGCTGTATTAAACTGAAAAATAAAATACTATTCTTAAAAGAAATTCATTATTTTTTTTATAAATTTTATTACACTTTATGACTAGTTTTTGGAAAAATTCAAGAATTATCATGTGGCTTAATAATTAATCAATGTGAAATAACTCAAAAAACACGTTAAAAATAAAAAGAAAGTGCGAAAAAGTGTAGAATGTACCGAAAAATCACGAAATCAATCTGATAAACTTAAAAGTAAAGTTATTTGCACTAAACTACCCTTGTTTTTCTTAGACTTTCGATGCATAACGACTGACTATCTGTCGTTAGATAGACTGTGTGTTAATAGACCAAAAACTAGAAACAATCGGATGTAGTCGCATTTGAGGTGTTATATTATTTGTTAACGTAATTTTTCTATTTCAATTTTATTATGGACAAGTTTAGTAATTTTCAATATTTTAAGTTTTTTAACAAGTTTATTATGAAGTCAAACTTTGCTCATTCCCTAGTCTCATTAAACAAGTAAGTTGGTTTTTTCTAGTTATTTTTTCATGAATGATTATCAAACTTTTAATTGTTGGTTTTTCTCTTGTAAAACCTTTTAGCATTGAATAGCTCTGAGGAAGATTGAATAAACAATCGAAATATTAGCACTTTTAAAAAGTTGTTTCATTAATCATTATTTTGACCGTTAACCCTGACAAATTCATGGTTTTTGTTGTTCACGTACGGTCGTGGATACTTCTTGCCGTTATATTATAGACCGAAAAATATCAAAAACTGCCGAGAAGTCCAACTCCACTACAACTTGTTCAGCAACCACGATGATAAAACTATATATTGAATTACCATACATAGACAGAAAACAAGATTCCCTCCAATTCTGGAGTAAAAAAGAATATCTATTTTCGAAGCTAGCTAAAATAGCGCATAAACACCTCTGCATACCAGCGAGAAACGCATGAATATTTCTAGTTCTAGTGTTAGTTCTATTCTTCATTTAATAAAAATATACCAAACATTTTTAACATTTAAAACTAGAACTAGAAACATTCGGGTATAGCCGCACGTCTCTCAAGACTGCTAAACCCGAATGATTCTAGTTCTAGATCTTGTGTTAGTTCTAGTTTTACACTATCACTAGAACTAACACAAGACCTAGAACTAGTTGGGTTAGTCGTGCGTCTTCAGACCCAACCCGGAATTTACAACCCAACCTCTGCTCCATGCCCAACACGACATTTGAGAAATTTGCACTGGTTTAAATGTTAATTAACCTAACTCAAAGTGGAATTTCTACACAAAATTCTGAAATAAATCAGGTATACATTATAGGTTATCTTTATATTATATTAGTTTAGTTTATGGTAAACAATGACATTTTAGTCGTTGTGCATCCAAAACCTAAGAAACAACCGTATTTCACCTGAAAATATGCGTTTTAACCGAATGTGCTACGAAAATACACTGTTAATTCTGTACCTGAGAGCTAAAAGGGTGTAAGTCCACTTCTAACAAAAATGAACTAATGCTCAAATAAGAATACTCTAAAACCCAGTATTTCATTTTTAGTAACATTATTTAAAAAAACTTTATTACGAGGAAAAATGTTTCGATTATAAAGAAATAGGTCTGTAGCGTGCTGTGGCAGCAGCTCCATTTAAAAACAAAATGTATTTTCATTTATTATTATTTTTATATTTGCCACACAATTGTGGCAAATCGTTCTGGCTCAAAAATCTACCGTTCTGGCTCATCCATCTCCTCACGCTTCGCTGTTACTTACCACAGACGCTTCTAATACAGGTATAGGAGCAGTTCTGAGCCAAATTATTGATGAAACACCGCAACCATTAGCATTTTATTCACATAAACTTTCTCCAAGTCAAGTTAAATATTCAACGTTCGACAGAGAGCTATTGGCAATATATTCTGCCATAAAATTTTTTAATCATTTCCTACACGGAAACAATTTTACAGTTTTCACCGACCACAAACCTATAACTACGGCAATATTTTCATCAACAGAAAAAACACCAAGACAAACCAGGTACCTAAATTACATAACACAATATACATCCGATGTGAGATACATTAAGGGAAATTCCAATATTGTTGCAGACGCTTTGTCCAGGACAAATATTGAATCCCTAAATTCTCAGTACCCCGACACACTTACACTTTACAAAGCTCAAGTCACAGATATCGAATTGTCGAACCTACTACATAAACAATTTTCTCACACTCACACTACAACACCCTATCAGTTATTGCTACAACCCACAACGCTACCTGATATCAAATTATGGTGTGAAATATCAACGGAATCTCCGCGAATCTACATTCCGCAGCAATTTAGAGAAATAGTTATACAAAAATTTCATGGTTTATCTCACCCTGGCATTCGAGCAACCATTCATTTAATAAAAACAAAATTCTTTTGGCCTCATATGTCGAAACAAATTCGTATTTGGACAAAATCATGTTTNATTGTTTTTGAAGCAAACATAACAGACGCAAAATAAAAGTCTGCCAAAAGTTAATTTTATAATTATTGTATTATTATGTTGGCTAATACCTCATAGCCACAAGGTCCTTTCGTTTTTAGTGCAAAATAGTCGTAAGTCCAAAATTAATCTACACATCAAAATTGAGTGTATAGTGTGATTTGAATGTATAAAACGTTCTTATTAACCTTTTCTTATAAACATGCACATTTGGTCACTAAATATTCCTGTTAGCTGCGATAACAAAAAGCATTTGTGCGGGAAAACGCGTTTCCCGCACGTCCTCTCTGCGCGGGAAATAGGTATCTACATGCTATGAGTACAAAAAATAAGTTTAAGCCATTTAGAACTTATAGAAATCCTAAGGAATCAAAAAATGGAAACATTAACACTTTGGACAGACAATTATGCCGGACAAAACCGAAATATGATGATGATTGTAATGTACATGTATGCAATGCAAGTATTTCCCAGCATTCATTTTATAAATCATAAATTTTTATTACGAGGCCATATTCATATGGAAGTAGATGGTCAGCATAGCGTTTTTGAACGTGCAAACAAGAAAACTAAACCATTTACGATTTTTATTTGCACTGATTGGATAAATTTTATTCGTAATTGTAAACAACCCCCATTTAATGTATTCTCTATGGGTCTAGAAGATTTTAAAAATGTTAGTACATTTTATTCATCATTAACAGCACCATTCATATCAAGAAAAAAAAGTAATGAAGGAGAACAGTTTAAATTATGGCTACAAATTCTACGAGAAACAATATAGTTCATTTTTTTTCTATAATACCTGTCAAATTGTTGTAAAGTTGGCAAAATTAACAGGGAGTTTTGTTTTATCATGTTTTGAAAGAGATATGTCACACTGACGTTTGAGCTTTCGTTATTCAAAAAGAAAAGGTGAATAACAAACGCTTTTACAATAAATATGTACGTCGTTAAAATCGTATTTATCTAAAAATTTATTAGTATTTTAACCTTAACTATTTAGTTATTGCAAATGTTACTAAAAATCAGGAAAACAACATAAATTTTATAAGGGTCCTAGATAATACCAACAGAAACCCTAAAAAATTTACATTGACTTTGTTTTTTAAAACATCATTTAAAGAACACTTTCGCTCCATTAATTTAAATAGAAACCTTCGAAAAGCTTCAAACATACCGAAAAATTTGCCCCAATTAAGACATTCTAGAAAATCTATAAGTAAAGCCAAATATGAAAATCTTTTAACCCTTCTTAAGTGGGTTCCTGAAGAATATCAGGATTACTTTAGGAATTTACCTTACGCTAAAGAGGCCTCAAAATTTCCTAATGATAATTAATAATAATAAGTTAATAGGTTTTAAAGTTTCAAATTTGTTCCAGAAAAAATATAATAAGTTTACTTATATATTGTAGTTCATATTGTTACAAATTCTTATGTTTTAAGTCCCAAATAATCTTTTAGAGCCAAGATGTAAATCCAACAATTTTGTAAAAATAAAGATTTTTGATAAAAACTCATTAATAGCATATTTTTATTTACAGACTATTAATATTAAAAAATACCGATATTTTCGAGCTTTATTTGTGAGGTAAAAGCATGAGAATTATTATTTTATTATTATTTGAAGTTAAAAATTAGACATTTTCGGCTATTCTACGATTAAGTCATTTTGGACTTATATCCGCTTATATCAGCTCTCAGTACAGAATTAATTACTATACCCGACGTCATCATTGCAAGTATGCAACCAATATCACAGTATTGGTATTGCAATACCAATAGCATGGTCGATGACGTCACAAAAAGTGACGTCACGTCAAAACTTTAAAGTGATTTTTCGGTAAGTATTACACTTTTTCGCTCTTTTCTTTGTTTGTAACTGCTTACACGAGTAATTTCCCGTCGATTAAAAAAATTGTCGATTTTTAAGCTACATGACACATTCATGAATTATACCCCAGTTTTTTTTTCTTCAATATGAAGTAAAAATATATACAAAATCATTTAACACCTATCATTTTTAATATTAATATTTAAATCACTAAAATAAGCATGTTGCATAGCATCTTCTGCAGACATTCTTTGAGTTGGATTACAAACTAATAGTCTTTGTAATAAATCGCGCCCTCGATTTCCCAATTTTGGCACAACCTAAAAAATAATCTTTTTTAATAAAAAAATTTTAATCAAAAAATAACCAACCTGTAATAAACTTAAATTTGGTTGATACAAAGGATAAGGTTTATAATCAGGTAAACTAGACATTCCCGGCCAAGTTTCATCAGTAGGAGTCCCCAACATCCTAAAAATCCTTCTTAATTGGTCATCAACATCAGCTCCTGGATACAAAGGACGTCCGGCATTAGTTAATTCAGCAAAAATACAACCCGCACTCCACATATCAATGGAAGTTGTGTATAATTTAGCTCCAAATAACACATCAGGCGGTCGATACCACAAAGTAACCACCTCAGCTGAGTAACATTTTACAGGAATTCCAAATGCTCTAGCTAATCCAAAATCTGCCAGTTTCAACTCACCGTTTTTATTAATTAATAAATTTTGAGGTTTTAAATCTCTATGCAAGACATTATGACTATGACAAAAAGCAAGACCTCTTAATAATTGATACATAAACGATTTAACCACATCGGAATCAATATCTCCATTTAAACTATCAAAGTATTTCTTTAAATCTTGGTCGCAATGTTCGAATACTAAAGTAAGCTTTTTATCGCTGTGTAAAACATCGTAAAGTCGTACTATATTTTTGTGTTTTAATTCTTTTAAAAGACAAATTTCTCTTAAAGCTGACGATGGTACTCCTTCATCATCATCATCTAAACGTACTCTTTTTAACGCAACTATTTCGTGAGTTTCTCTATTTTTTGCTTTAAATACTGTACCATAAGTTCCTTCACCTATCTTCTCTAATTTTTCATATTTCTGCATAGTATTATAGTTAAAAATTCTAATTAATTCTGTGTTATTATTTATAAAAAGTTTTTGATTGGATTCTAGGGATTTCTATTTTTGTTGGAACCAAATCACAAAGATATTTTTTTAATTTATAACCAATTGTTAAATTAATTTGAATTATTTTAATAAATTAATTGGATTGTATTAATATAAAAGTTATTATTGTTTAATTTAAAATTTTATTACTTCTTGAAATAAATCAATAAAATCAACTGTAACTAATTTCATGATTATTGCGTGTCAATCGAGTTGTCACCGGTGCCGTTGACTTTATAGGTTAGAAACGCAAAATTTATAAGAAATGGCTAAAGTAGGAGCTGTTTTGAAGAAATTCTACACAGAATACGCTACGAAAACGCCGAAAAAATTAAAAATTATTGATGCTTACCTTTTATACATATTACTTACCGGGATCGTTCAATTCGTGTATTGTCTGTTAGTGGGGACATTTCCCTTCAATTCCTTTTTGAGTGGTTTTATTTCTAGCGTAAGCTGTTTTGTCTTAGCAGGTACAAATAAGGAACATTTGTTTTTGATTTTGCTTTAATAATATTATTTTTTAAGTTTGTCTTCGTTTACAAGTTAACCCAGAGAATCGCAGTCAATTTGTTGGAATAAGCCCAGAAAGAGGATTTGCTGATTTTATATTTGCTCATATTGTGCTGCACCTTGTAGTTATGAATTTCATTGGTTAAAATGTTTTTGCAATTACAATATTTTGAATAATAATAATTGAAGATGTTAAATTAAATAAGAATCTGTTTTTGTACACACTTTGGTTCAATAAAGAAAACTTAAACCTTTTTATTGTTATATCGTTTTATTGATTTATTTGATATAAAGAAAACCTAAAATTAGGTAACGTTCAAGTAGTACAAAGTTTTAGAGGTTATTGAAAAATGATTCATAATAGATAAGAAATTTTAACTACAATCAATTGATAATGACCCATTTAGTGATATAATTTACTATAAAATAGGACTTTAATAATTATTTTCTCGACAAAAAAGTTTGATTTTAGTTTAAGAACGTTTTTTTAGATTTGAACGACAAAAACATGAACGAAAGAGGTTATGATGTAAGCGATATTCCAAAATACGGTTTAAAATTAAAACTTGACCATGAATATCCTGAAAATTGGAGTCAAACTCGTGTACCCACATTCGGACAATTATGGCAAATGTTACATTTAATAATAAGGTAAAAATATAATAATTCTTTAATTAATTAAAAATTTGAGGTTATGTTTGTTTTTTAGATATGTGATTTATTATTTAAAAATAAGATTCCAAGGTAGACGAGCTGTTATGGATTATGTTAGACCTGAAAGAGCTAAAAGAATTTATGGTAGTACCATTTCTTGTGATAAAATTTAATTAATTTAAAAAATATTTTTTTAGGTGTTCCTTTGGGGGGAATTGGTTGTGGAACCATCGGAAGGGGTTATAAAGGTGAATTTTGTAGGTATCAATTAAAACCAGGCAGATATGAATATGAAACTATCGATGCTAATCAGTTTATTGTTACAATACAAGATGAAAAAAGAAAAACCATTTTTCAAAGCTTATTGTCCACATATGAGTCAGTTAATTTAACGTTAATTTTTTTAAATAAATTAATTTTGATATGTTTATAGAAAAAAACCGGATGTTTTAACAAGTTGGAGATCTTTTATCGATCCCAAACTTTGTAATTACACCGGCTTATACCCGAGAGCTTGGACTGAATTTGATTTGAGTCAATATGGTGTTAAATTAATTTGTAGACAAATTAGTCCTGTAATACCACATAATTATAAGGTAATTTTTTGATTCAATTTTTATTTGTTTGATGAATGTAAATTCAAATTTAAGGATTCATCTTTACCATGTGCTGTTTTTGTTTGGAACATTCAAAACACGTGTGATAAAGAAAGATTTGTTACAATTACATTTACATTTAAAAATGGAATTGGTACCAAAGAAGATAAATCAGGTAAAGTATTTATTATACAGGGTGATTCATATAAGAACCAACACAGAGTGAGTAGAGGACAATAAATTAAGATGATTAAAGTAATTTACCTGTATACTAAGTTGTACACCTGAGGAGTTATAGGCCTTCAAAGCAGCCCCAGGGAACTTGGGACTGATTGTATGTCGAAATCCCACCGTAAGATGGCATTAGCGTCTATATTGAAATAATTTAATTAAATAACAATTTTATTGTTCATAGTGGGAATGAAGAGAGATAATTATTACCAGTATCATTCTTTTAATTTAAAATGTATAGATTCCAATTCGTGTTATATTTTTAAATTTGCAGCTAACTTCAACTTTTAAAATTATAAAGTTGAAGTTTGTTCAGAATGACAGATAAAAACGTCATTTTAAAGTGATTTTTCGGTAAGAGTATAATAAAGTAATAATGGTATGATTAAATAATTAGATTATAATTGACATTATAGCTTTGTTTCAGCTAAGGTTTTAAGTTGTTGGAAGCTCGCCAGATGCAATCTCACATGTCATATGATGCGATATGTGCGGCATTATTTGACAGGTGTAATTGCCATAGGTAATTGCATCTAAGGCATTCCTAATCAGTCGGAACGTTAATTGGAGCCACATAGTAGCTCCAAACACTTTCCAAATAATTATTTTGTGATTGGAGCTTTTATATACAAACCTAATCCAACCTGTATTCTAGTGGTTCGGTTCTTAGCTGAATAATTTCAAAATATCCCCAACAGATGGCGCCATATGCGTTCAATTTTTAGTATGAAGTTTTTGTTTAAAGAGTTGCATTTCTACGAAGCTTTTTCAATGCTTCAAAGTTGGCTCTTAAATTTTTAAAAAGTGCAATATCTTCGTAATAAATTAAGCTAGAAAAACCAAATTTGGTATATGTTATGAGTGTACCAAGGGTATTTAATTGGTAACAAATTCCCTAAATTTTGACAGAATACTTCATTTCATGTGGAATTTAATTCTAAAACTTTTCTTAACAAATAGGTTATAAAATTATTTGACAACAACGTTTTATAACCTATTTGTCAAGTTTGACGTACAATTTCACAGCCGACTACTGAATTTTCGATGATTTAGCATTAACGAAATACGTGTCTTTAGTTATTTGAGTTTTTGATGAAAACGACAATGTTTTTTAAAAAATAATAAGAGTAAAAAAAGTTTTAGTATTAAATTCCACATGAAATGAGGTAATAATGTATTAAATCCACCGAAAGGATAAAAAAATCTGTCAAAATTTAGGGTACCATCACCCTTAATCAACCCTTTGAAATGCCTCAGTTGGTCTCAATTAATACCTTCGGTACACACAAAACGTATACCAAATTTGGTTTCTCTAGCTTAATGTATTACGAAGATATTTTAAAAATTTAAGACCCAACTTTGAAGGCCTATAACTCCTCAGGGGTACAACTTAGTATAGAGATAAATTGAGTTAAATCATCTTAATTTATTGTCCTCTATGTCCCTGCTCTGTGTCGGTTCTTATGTGAATCACCCTGTATTTATTACATTCTAATTTAATATTTATTTCCATTTTAAATTTAGCTACATGTAGTTTAAAACAATTTTCATATTTGGATAATGAAGGAGTTTTAATTTATAACACAATCGATAAATTACCTTGTTGTTATGCGCTTTCTATAAGAAAAAAAGATGACTTGGAAATTTCTAGATTATTACACTTTGAACCAAAAGGTGATGGAAGAGATGTATGGCTTCCGCTTTTAAAACATGGCAGATTTGGCAAAGTTGTTGAGAAAAACAAAGATGATCATGTTTTTGGTGAAGTTGGTAGCGCAATTGCTGCGCAAATCCATGTTTTACCTCAACAAAGCGGTGAAATCGAAACTTGTTTAGTTTGGGATATGCCCATAGTTTATTTCCATGATAGAGTTCAAAAATATTTTAAGTATTATACAAAATTCTTTGGAAGTGATAAACCCGCTTTAAAAATCGTTGATTATGTATTTAAAAATTATAAACGTTGGGAAGAAGATATTTATAATTGGCAAGAACCAGTATTAAATAATAATAATTTACCTGATTGGTATAAATCTGCTTTGTTTAATGAAAGTTATTTTATTTCGGATGGTGGGAGTATTTGGGTTACCTTAGAAAAAGAAGAAGTGGCTAATTTAAATCAAAATGATCCAAGGTAATTTTTAATGTAATTTTTTTAATTTAACTTTGTAAATCTTTTGGCATTTTTTCACCTCATTCTTTTTCGCGCTTCTAACGCTCTTATACGGAGGGCAGACTCGTTATTTAAAAATCGTTGTGTTTTGATGACGATTATTATTAAAATTCACCACTTAATGAGTAACGTATCAATACATCTTCATGTTCAGAAGGCTTTTTATAGGTGGATCCTTGGAATTTCGAATTACATTCGGGGCAATGACCAAATAAAAATCCTTTTAAAAATCAAACGACATGGCAAATTAGTGGCTTCCCAAAATCCCTTGCACATTGCGTCGGTCCCAGTATTTACTTGGATACACAAATTACACCTCCACAGTATTCAAAATGTTAAAAAAAATTCTTTAACACCGGAAGTGTTAAAAACCTTCCAAAAAGTGGACGGTCGAAGACAGCTACCAATGACAAAATTACATAAAATGTGTGTCACCCTATCCATACATCATTAACTTTTCATAATTGTTGAAACTGTCATTTTTTTGACATTTAAAGCTGTCAACATCGTTATTGCGGCGCCTACTTTGATTGTAATTTGCTGATTTTATATTTTCAGAAAACTCATTTTTTTTCGATTTTTTTCTTATACAGCTATATGATTTGATATGTTCATCGCATAGAGGGATTTACCCTCTATCAAAGTATGCAAAAAAAGCATATGCATTCCATTTAAAATAACAATGTTGGTTGCCATAGCAACGAAACAAAAAACAATGTAAACAAGCAAATATCGTCAAAAAATGCGCCACGATAAATAAAGAAACTTGTATTTAAAACATTTTTCTTCAAAACCACAAATGGTGAAGTTATTGGCTATGTCCCAGACAGAGGCGACGCTACCAGGGGGTGCAAGGGCTGCACTGCACCCGGCCGTCGCCTAAAAGGGGGCGCTGGCGCCTTTTTAATGTTTTCTCCAACAATATCTTATCTCTCTTTTGCAGTATTTAGATCTGTCAGCAGTACCTAGTCTTCAGAAAGCAGTATTTAGTCTCCACAAAGCAATTTTAGTCTTTAGAAGGCAGTATTTAGTGTTCCAGACGCTGTATTTAGACCTGTCGGAAGTATCTANTCTTCAACCATTCTTTCATCCAGTGTTTGCGTTTCAGTCGAAGAGTAGTTCCAAGCCCCAAAATAATAGCTACGCAAGCTTTTGTACGATTATCCTTATTTGGAAAGGAAAACCGGCAAATAACCGAGTAAAACTACGTAGATTCACCCTGTACGTGGTAAAAAGGTAACTTATTGAGCAAACTGATGACAATAATATTGATCGTGTAAGGTAGTGAAGTATTGAGACTGGTTACCACGAAGATTGATGGTTGTATTGTCAATACTATTGATCGTGTAAGGGCGCTAAAGGGTACATGCTTTTTGAGAAGCATGTTTTTCGAAGAAAGGGCCAATTGAAAAGTTACCTATCATTCATTTCACGTAACCAATAACAATTTTCTAGTAACCAATAATGGATATCATTCCTGAAGCTCTAGAAGCAAACAGCGTACTGGTGAAATTTATCTCAATGTAAAAATCTAAGCACACTGCGTTGGGATACAGCAGAGTCATAAAAAATTACGCGAGAAGAAATATATGGATTATTACGAACAACAGCTTAAACATTGAATTTCTTGTAGCGCCTTCTTCTCTATTGAAGATCTTACACAAGAAAGGATGTGTCTGTCTAGAAATCTTTGTTCGAATAAATTTTGGGCAACATTAATATCTTTGACTGCTCCATAAACAAAAGTCATTTTAGTTTTTTCAGCAATCGTGTCCCTTTCCATAGTC